CGGAGTCGGACCCATTCGGCCATGAAGGGTAGGGTTTTTGTGTTTCTTAAAAATATCCTGAGCATTCATCTCTTCGTACTTTTTACACCTGTTTCGTTGGGTGCAGTTGCCACGTGTGAGGTATGGCCAATCAGCGGGATTTTGGCATTTCTCATTAGCAGGAATTCTATCTTGTTCTTCAGCCCAATACCACGTTTGCTACATTTACGCTTTATTTATCTTTTGGGGCGGACTAATTTTTTTTCTAGACTTTCGTCTTTGGCACGACAGAAATTAATTACCGTGATATGAGGACATTATTTAAAGAAAACCGCAGACATTATCACGTATTTAATGTTGAAGTGATTTCGAATTTTCTATTTCTCTCAAATTAAATGAATATCAAGAAAAACAAAAAAAAAAATAAATAAATTTTACTGATCTTCAACCCTTACAATTAAACAAACAAAAGAACAATTAAAATCAACATGAACAAAATATTTTTTTTTCATGTTTGCTTAAGAATGGTCTTCAATATCTTATGCCTTTGTAAACTAAACCATAAATGTTAACTCTAACGTAAATTAAAATAACGTAAAATTATATTTCTATACTTTTCATATGTTGTATATGTTAGATAGTATAATAGATAATCCAATGAAAAGTCTCAGTGGTTGAAGAAAAACACGAAAAACTTCAGTAAAGCTTTAATGAAGATTTTCGTGTTTTTCGTCTTTATTTAAAGTATTGCTTTAGATGAAATATCTTTATTTACCCATTTAAAATTGGCAAAGGTGTCAATGCCTTAAACTTCATCAAATGGCTTTTGATAGATGCACAATCTATCATTTTTCATTGTACATCACAACTGAAATTCAAAAGGTCAGTGTTTGTTTTTAAATATGATTTTTTCCAGTGTTGGTTAGAGGGTTAATTTTGAAGGTCAAAGTATCAATGAATATGCTAAATATCAAATTCTCATTAATTGACAATAAAATTTAAAGGTGTCCCCTTCTAGTAATTTAATAACCAAGTCAAAGATTATTGTTGCAAAGACACAAAAAGTATACAATTATTTAAGGAAACCATGTAGTAGCTTCAGGATAAACGCTATGACTTCAATTAAGGTTTTCATCATCAACATCCCTTATTATACCCCCACTTGAAATGCGGGAAGGTATTTAGTGCTCGGGATGTCTGACTGTATGTCCGTTTGTTACACTTTGGGATACCCATCTCTTATCTGCAGCTTCTCCTATACTACTGAATGAAATTTAATGAGACTTTCGCAGAATGTTTGTTACAACCATTGTACAATTTCTATTTTAGTTTTTGGCCAGACACATATTTTCGGTTTCCCAGAGCGAAACCTTGACATCGCTGTTCTTTCTATAATATTGAATGATACCCATTTCTCCTCCACAACTCCTCCTATACCACTGAATAAAATTTAATTGTTGCTATCAAAAAACATGTTAATAAAATAAAAAAATATCAAGAGTTTCATTCTATGTCAATATTTTGCTAGTTCTAAGGTCGACACAATGACCAATCTATCATTTAGCCCAGGGCAGACAACATTTTTCTAACAAATTGTTAGGTCACTATTAACACACTAAATTGTCTGTGGAATTTTGTTTGCCCAATCAAGGAGCACACAGCATGATAGCAAGGGATGCTTACTTCTTCATGATGTCTGATCCTAAGTCTGATATTTTTAGGTTCGTGTTTGCTCTGCTCGATGGACTTTTGAGCCTGATCACCGCCCATTATCTTGCTAATTATCTACCTAAATCACGTCCATACAAAGTTATTAACTAAACTAGTGCTTTATTGTTCTTCTATATCAGTGTTAAATTATCATATCTGAAGTGTATTCTATCAATCAGAAATGTTCCTAAATAATTAATATACTTACATGTAACATACAAATGTAATAGTTCTCCTACTTTTACTGATTAACTGATTGATTGTATGTTGTTTAACGTCCCTCTCGAGAATCTTTCACTCATATAGAGATGCTTTTAATGAATTTAGATAAAAACTGAATGAAAAAATGTACATACAAGAGTGATCATTCCATTTTATCAAATAACACTAAAATAAAATAAAAAGAGAAATTTGATCTAATAATCACATAAATCATCAACACAGATGTTAATATTCAATTAAAAAACCCACCAAAACAGAGATAAAAACATGAAGTCTATGACACTGGGAATGCTGGCAGTGTTCACTGCCTACATCCATCATTGTGATATTTAATCACAACCCTGCTGCTTCTCAAGAACAAGATATATTTAGATAGTCAGTGATTGATGCAGATTTCATTTCTACATCGGGTTTACTGTTTAAACATTGAATTTAAATGGAGCAAACATCTATTTTCTAAATCTGGCTTAAGGCAAACACGAGAGTGTACCTAGTATGTTATAGGTGAGCAAACATAGTTGCATCCCTATCCATTTATTTGTTGTCTTTATAATAAATGTCAAAGATTAATTTGAGTGCAACAAAAAGGTACCTGTAAAAAATCATTTTTCAGAAATAATATAAATTAAAAGTACATAGAGCACTGAGCTCACTTAATGATACCCTGGTCTCCATATAAAGATATATGATTATATGTGTGACAAAATCCATATTTAAAAAAATAAGTGGATTTTGGTTAATTTTTGGTTTATTTGATGCACCCTCCAGCCTCCAATACGTATTTGCTCTGGGAGAACTGAATTAAGCATCAAATATAAAAGTATAAAGGAGGTTCACAATTTTATTATCTTTTAGTAAAGTTAATTCTTAATGCAGCGAGCAATTATACCCAATTTTTCTTATGGTTTTGGAGTTCAAATTTTATTCATGTTGTTCCTCAAGACAATAGTTTAACCCAATCTTAGTTCTGTTTTGCATGGTTAAGTGTTCTTGGCAACCAAATTTTATTCATGGTGTACCCCATGGGTACCCCATTAATATTATAGATTGATTGATTGTATATTGTGTACACGTTCCACTTACTTAGAAATATAATCTAAACAGTTTCTAAGAGAATTTTTCACTCATATGGAGATGCCTAATATCATAGAAAGAATGGTAGTGTGAATGTTTTGCTTTGGGAAATCTGAAATATGTGTCTGATCAAAAAGTAAAATAGGAGATGCACAATGGCAATGTGCAACAAAAACTCCTTGAAAGTTTCATTAAATTTCAATCAGTGGTACATTTATATGGGTTGCAGATAAGACATGGGTACCCTAAACTCTAACAGAAGGATGGACATTCAGACAGACAGAAGGATGATCATCCCATTCACTATACCATCCCACTTTTCAAGCAAGGGTATAATAGATTGGAGGAGTTCAAACTAATCTTTTTTTATGTCTATGTCTAAACTATCAATGTTTGTAAAATTGTTTCCTTTATTGATTCATCTTTAATTTAGTTTTTTTGGCCTCTCTTGTTCTCCATTTTAGTTATATTCTAGTCTTTGTGGTCACTAATGTACATCCACTTGGTCCAAATTGCAACAAAACAGAATTTATAATATTTTTTTGAAAATGCTCATCTTTAAGAAATCTAATGCTCCACAAGGGTAAAAAACACACAAAATATACCCCCCCCCCAAAAAAAATATTCAAAGTAGACAGAACAAGTTAACTATGTAGGTATCATTAAAAAGAAAGCTCAAATTAGTTATTAAACAAGTATGGTAAAGTTAAAAGTTAATGCTACACCTGAAAACAATTGTTATAGAACTTAAAGCAATATGAGCTGCAACTTTGATGTCGGAATTTTTTGTTGCAAAATTGTAAATAACTACATGTGTATTTCAATGACAGAAAAAAAATGACATTAATGAACTTCTGTTGTTCATATTTGCGCTGCCTTTAATTTACTTTTGATCTACACTTATTTGGGTCTCCCAGTAAAGAACTATTTTTTAGCTTCGATTAAATCAAAATTTCTTTATTGTTGTCCTGTACAATAATGATTTCTTATGTAAAATTGCATATATTGGATTGCATATAAAAGTCTTTTGCATTCAATTTATTTCAGTCTATAAATGATCATGAAGATTTCGGTTACATACAAATTAATCATAATAACACATTTTAACAGCAAAATCAAATTTTCAAAAATGCAGCTTATATTGCTTTAATTAATAACTGTTGATCTAAAACAAAATATCAATGAAACTTATGCCAGACAGGGCATGTCAAAATACTATTCAAATCATTTTTATTACTGAATTCTACTTGAAAATTCCAGAAAATTAAGTATGGTTAATAATATACATTGTATATGTAAGGTGGAATCTTTAGTCTCTAAGAGAAACATATTAAGATAATTTCAAAGAAACAGTGAACTTTTATCAATGACATGTGGTTCATATTTTCTATTCCTTGTAAAACAAAATCATTTTTAAATATATTAAGTAAATTATATGCATATTTTAGGTGCACATTGTAAAAAAACTTCTGGTACAGCCTCAAAAGTACCTTTTATGTTGATATATATCATTTTATGTAGGCTTACATGTAAAAGGTATCTACATGCATGTATCTGATTGTGAGCCAATATATTATGCACATTGATACCTAAATTGTCCCAATTAAAAAATACACATAAATGTGCAATAAAGGCACATACATCATGTACATATAATGCTTATTCAATAATTTTTCCTACAATTTGATGTTTCTTAAAGCTTGAAAAAATGGTTCCAAATTTCATAATTAAGGCATGCTTTTTAATGCTTATTTTTAATTTTATCAAATATACATGTAGGCATGTCTAATCTTTACTTTTCTTGCTACTAGATTAATATACATCTATCATGTGATACCTTTATTAATTTCTCTGCTCAAAATAGAAAATAAAACTCCTGCTTTCATTCATAGCAATGTATCTATATGCTTAACAGATTTAAATCTGTATGAGAATAAATCATCTTACAATTTTTCCCTGTACAAATAAATGGAATTTGTTAAAAACACATAATTATAATTTAATTGAAAACATACCTCATTGATGTGACCTCTGAAATCTGAGAATGGAAAGGAGCTCTGGACCCGATCGTCTCGTGAGGACTGTCTCCATTTCAAAACCTTTCTCTTTCATAATCCTCTGTATTTCTTCTAGAAAATGGAAGATGAAGGGTCATTTTCTAAGTATCCCAAGAAACTTTAAAACATAATTGGTGCAAACTCGGAAGAAAGATGCTTGTACATGTAAAAATAGACACCACCATTAAATAAATGTGATATGAGACTCTACCATACATGTATGCCTACTGATACATGCAACTTTAGTTAAGGTGTGTTTTTAAATTTTCATTTACATATTTTTTAAGTCTTCTTAAGTTTTGGCTTTGTCATTCTTGAGAAGAAGATTTTTGAACTATATATTTTTTCCATATAAATTTGATGAATTATGGCCTGAGAAGAAGAAACAAAATGTACCTCCACTTGGTCCAAATTAACACAAATTTTAAATTGTTTTAATGATGATAATTTCCCAAAATTGGACAATTCAAAACCCTAGCTGTTTTTCTGCAGGTTTTAACAAATCCTTTCAATAAACTAACCCCCACTCCTTCCTCATACCCCACACCCACTGCTGTGTCTCATGTCCATTTAAATTTTCAACAAATTGATAAAACTCAGGTGACCTAATTTAATATACTCAGGTGACCTAAAACTGCATTAAGGTTTTATTCTATATCATCTGAAATTTGTAATATATTCATTATGGAGTGAAACAACTGTATCCCTGGTGATGATTTTACACTAAGAATAGCAGTAATTTTTAAAGTCCTTATTCATCCATACATGTACCTGGTTTATTTTCTTTGATTACAACCAAATAAAATAATCCCCATTGTGACAAGAGATCTGGTACTTTAGGTAGGAATCTGTCAATCACTCTTCTGCCATTCTCCCCTCCTGCCCAAGCTGCTTCTATACCTTTGGAACCAACCTACAAATGGAGAAAAGCAAGATCAAAGGAGTTGTCTTTCCCCTCATTTCACATTCCTGATGATTGAAGGTTTTATAAATGTAGAAAACCTATACTAGGGTGAAGCTGTATTAATACAGTACGTTTGGTTGAAAGAAAATAACTGAACAGATGTTTTAACAATAATTAATTTGACCTGTACAGATTGATATGCATTTTCCAATATTTTGTGAATTTTTAATGATTTTTTAAAATGTTTTAAGGCAATTAAATATTTAATTCCACCATACACAGAAACTCTTTTGGTCTCTCATAAAATTTAAACAAAAATTATTAGGTTTTATATAAATGATGATACCTATACATGTAATAGCATATTAATAATTATCTATATATGTAAAAATGTACATGTAATTAAGCATTCCAAATGTTTTTATCTATCAGCAAAGGATAAATTAAAACTTGCAAATTAAAGACTAAATACAATGATCCAGTTACAAAATATAAATTGGCTTTTAAAAGGAAGCAAATATGTTTCAATCACCAAAAATATAGCTGCATTTTATCTATCTTATGCATGCATCTAATGAAAGATTATAATCTCTGTTGTTCTTGCCTACCTCTTCTTCTGGGGTTACAACATATGGTGGGTTGAATACAAGAATGTCCACTTTTCCTTTCAATCTTAAGTCAAGACCATTCACCTAGCACCAAATCAAAATACTTTCCATGCAATGACACTGTATATGTATGTACTGCAGATCACTAAATTCTTGAGACACTTTTAATAATTTTGCAAGATATTCATCAACTCTTTATAAGCGAAACAAAATTTTCATGGTTTGTGATTATCACCTCATATAATGTTCAATATATACATTTGTGGTATCTCGATCTCTATTATGTAAACATGCAGAGAGCTCTGTATCAAGTTTTTCACAGGTCATAGGTCATTATGTGACCTAATCACACAACACAATAATATTAACACACAAAATGACTTGCTCTACTTAGAACTTAAATCATCTGAGAAGGCCTTTGGCTGCTTCAAAGGTTTTGTATTGTGTGACCAGCCCACTTCAATTCCTATATTGAAGTTTTTAACTTCATATTTATTTTTTAAGGAATACTAACATGCATGCATGTGAGACTGAAATTTTTGCAGGCACACTGTGTCACACACATGTAATTACGCAAAAATAATAAAAGTTCTCCTATATAAAAAGTTTTTTACAGTATATTTATGTCATCTGTTTAATATTTGGAAAATGAATCAGTTATTTTTTTCAATTTTTATATCTTTAAATTGCAAATGTTTTAAAAATATATATTATTTACAGAAAATTTCTACATTTTATGTAAGGTAATAAAACATACAGAAAGATCATTTTTTATCATAAATATGCCATTTTAAAACAATACCAGATCTGTGATCACAGGTTGTATATTCATGCCATTTTCTTTCCCTGTTTTGCTTGCTATTTCTGCAGCTTTAAAGTTAATGTCTGTACATCTGCAATTAATAAAAGATACATATTTATTTCAAAGTAAATGGTTAGAGATCAGTTGTAACAGGCTAAGAGCTTAGGTTTATGAACAAAATCTCTGTGGACCTTCAAACAAATAAATTTTGATTTTTTTTTAAATTTTAGAACGACATTTTTATCAAATGAAGCACTCAATTTACCCGGTAGCTGGTTCTTAGGGAAAACACTGCTATGTCGTGATCCAATACCTCATTAATTCCAAAAAAGAAATAGACATGCAGTTACATGTACTTCAGAAACGAAGTACATATGTAACTACAGTTTGTAATATAAATGCCATTTTTATATGTAATGTATTATTTTCAATTTGTATTATTATATATGATATCCATGATACATAGTCACTGTTAAAGACCCAAATTGATGCAAGAGATTGTCAAGTCAGTTTAAAAAATTTCAACAATTTGAAAGCAAAGAAAAACATTTCGAATTAATTTAATGACATTTATACTTACAGATATGAAGACGAAGACTTCAACAGTGTGGCAAGGAAAGTGATGCATATTCCTGAACCACATCCCACCTCCAAACAAATACTGGGCCTACATTGATATTAAATACAGATATTATCTAAATTTATTTTATTTTAAAAAAAAAATATCAAAATTTACATCTGGTCTGATCTGACCAATACCGACATAAGATTACATGTATATCTTAAGTGCACTGCTCAATGTGTTGATATGGAAGGGAATTACCACCAAAAGTCTAAGATACACAACTGTATGCCCAAAGCTCCTACTTTTTTTTTTTGTCTTTTCATACTACTGATCGAAGACATCAAAAACCTGACTCCCTTGTACACTTCTACAAGTGCAATGTCATAAATAAAAATCGAAATTCATGTTAATGTACAACAAAAAGGACTGCTCCTTCATTAAGCTATAATAAAGTAACAGTATGGATAGGAATAATGTAAAGTAAATTAAGTTATTAACTTATTAAACTCGTGATGCATGGGACAGCACTACAGTTAATGTACTATAGATCAAAATGTAAGACACAATATATAAACCTATCAATATATAGTAAATGTTAAATTTTCCTAAATAAGATAAAATACATATTTGATAAATATTTATTACACCTCAGACACATGTGGATATGATGAAGCATATCACGTGTTACCGTATATGTTGAATATGCTCGTGATCTTTCTCCAGTGCATCAAGTAGAAGAAAAGAATCCTCTGCTGGTTCGTAGATAAAATTGAAATCTTTAGGTGTCAGATGAGACAATTTTGGAGTGGGAAAATTGGCGTCTGACATCTATCTTCAATCTTGTTACCTAGGTATTTTCTACTTTCAATTTCAGGTTTGATAAAATTTTGAATAGCGAACCCGATTTATTTTTTTTTCATAACATGGTGGACATGGGCAACGATTTATGAGCTACAGGTACGTTTATTTAGGGACTTCCTTCCCTTCTACAAACGTTTCACTTTTTACTGCAAAATAAAAAGGTACACCATGATTTTACAATAGAATATGAGATGTAATATAACACGATAACCTTAACTTTTGTGTGTCAAAGGGATTAAAAGATTAAGATTACAACACACTAAGTCAGTTTAAAAGTGATAATGAAAAACTGATAAAAATAGCAAAAAGATAAGAGCAAAACGTACTTTAAGGCAAAATATAGAACTTCAAAAATGTTATGAGATACCTGTATGTGGAATCCACTATCTTTTATTGCTAAAAAGGCCTACATATACATGTATATATACATGTATACTTAAAATAAGGCCATTACAATGTATACAGGTGTCTCATTATATCGCGGTATTTAAATCTTTTGTAAAAAAACCTAATTTGATTTTTTAAAAAACACACAATGATAAAACATAAAACACAACTAAAGCATAACTTTTTACATCCTTCAAATGATTTGATCTAACTAAACATGCTTTAATTGTAGAAATTTCTATTTTTAAAACAAAGGATTAAATGCTTACAATATACCTAATGTAACTTAATGTACAGAATTATTTGGAGAAAACAAAATTCAAAAGTTTGAAATTTATCATGGACTTAATTCTTGTGTGTTTTATTTTACCATGTAATTTTACATAAGAAAATAAATAATTATACAAACTAAAGACTTTCAAAACATGAACTTTATATGGATTTTGCGAGATTATAAACTCAGTGGGCTAAAAATAATAAAAACGGAGATCGTTTTCAATAAAATTACGTTTTATTTGAATAATTTTTTTTCTGACGCATTTTCCATACTTTTTAATCATCACAAAAATTTACATTCAGATGACAGACTGATATTTTTTCAACAAAAAGCTATATACATGTAACTATATATATTTTGTCATTTCACTAAATTTTTAGTTCACGTATTGAGTATATATTGAAATGTTGCAGGTTTTAGACAAACATACTTAAAAATGGTGGTGTTGTCCATGTTAAATGTACAGACAGTGCTGGTGGCTGTTGTGGTGGGGCTGCTGATATACTACATTAGAAGAAGAGCCCTCTACCGCTTACCCCCGGGGCCATGGTGTATCCCACTCATCGGCCATTTCGAAGGTACATGTATTTATCAGCTTATCAACAAAAAAGAATTACAAGTCTGACCACTTTGCAATCATTGTCTATTGCACTTCACAGGCCTGTAGTAAGAAACTTCATTTTTTTTAAAGGGGTGAATGGGTGCAGGGTAGGGTAACCAAAGACTGAGGAGGAAGGGGATGTAATAAAATAAATTAAGGTATTCAATCCCTAATGGGAAAAAATTCAATGAAATTGAAAACATAACAGATATGTAGGCATTGAATACTCGCTTGTCCTAATTCATGACCTTGAATTTTGGTAAGAGTTATCTCCATTTTTTTTAATTAATAGAAAAAATCAATTTAAAAAATTTTAGCTGGTAAAAAAAAAATTGTTTTCAATTGTCATTCTATTTTTAATGATTCAATGCATCTTTTCACCGCAGGATTTGTTGATATTCAAATTATTTGAATTTTTATTTTGAAAAAACGCTTTTCCCCATAGACTTCAATGCAATCTTTGCTAATTAACTACTGCTTAATTAATGAAATTTTTGAAATTTTCTCGCGGGCAATCCTTTTCGACTATAAATTGCTTTAATGTAATATCAGAGTATTATGTACTTGACTGATATTTAAGGGTAGGGAATTAGGTCCCATTAGGGATGGAAATCCTTAAGACGGACCCTATACTTTTGATGTATTTGTCATCTGCTAATCAACAAAGTAGGGTTATTAAAACCCACCCCACCCCACCCCCACCCCGGATAAAATTGTGCGATGTTATCATGGTCATGATGATGGTAGTGATTGATGAAATATTTGTGAGAGCACTGAGAGGTTTTCAATTTATAAGTTTCCTGAAAGAATTAATATAATGCTACATAGCCATCATGAAATACGTAACAATTTGTTTTGGTATTACCTGGTATATGAACCTTTTCATAATTCAGATATCAGTATATTGTTAATGAATATTTCTGATCGTATCGGACTGGATATTGAGGAGTTCGCTTTACAAGCCAAAAAAAAGGGGGGGCATAATGTTCAGTGACAAAGACAATGTACATGTATTGTCAGTTTTCAAATTTTATTAATAATACATTAACTATACAATACTAGTAGAGGTAAAATATGCTGATGCAAATAACAAAATTTAATGGTCTCTTTTTCAGTTTATACTAAAGAACTAGTACACAGAAAAATCCTCAAACTTTCCAAGGAATATGGACCTGTATTTCGTCTTTCATTTGGTATGATGAATTATACCAGTAAAGTTTTTGACAATTTTCCTTTCATTTCATTACTTTAAAGTTTTTAAAATAAGAATAAAGTGGATGCGTAATACTTTATAAGCAGAATGTATAATAGTATTTTTTTATGTATTTTTCTTAACAGGACCAACTCCTTTTGTATTTTTAAACAATTATGAAGTTGTTATTGAGGCCTTGGTTAAAAGGAAAGCAGACTTTGCAGGAAGACCATATTCCACAGCATGTGAGTATTTTTTTTTTTGGGGGGGGGGGGAGGGGTGGGGTGGGGTTACATTCAACGTTCCTAGGCCCTATAACATTGGGTTTTTTCCCCTAGAAAAAAGGTGAAAATATCATACTGTTTAATTAAAGATAATGGAAAAAAATAGATTATGTTTTGAAATGTAGACATATTATATATATATATGTTCTGGATGAAAACTGAAAACAGTATGCTTTGTTATAGTTTCTTTGATATCCGAGGGATTCAAAGACATAGCGTTGGCCACGTACTCACCTATGTGGAAGTTCCATCGGAAACTAGCCATGAAAGCTCTAAGGTATACGTAAATTCTGTGTTCAAATAATTAAAGTGTGAAAAAATATATTAAGTTTAACGTACACTTTATTATTGAACTTAACCAACCAAAGTTGGAGTTGTAATACTCTGTACTTATGTTCATTTTCCAAAAATATACAAAATTAATAACAGTAACTGTATATATACGCTTACCTCGAACTACAAATAAATGGGATCAGTCTTCTGCAATATGTTTGTTATTTTACAGGAATTACTTACAAGGCGACCTGTTGGAGAAACTTACAGAAGACAATATGATAAAAGTGATGAACATGATGGCGGCTGAGAAGGGGCCCTTTGAACCCAAACCTCACTTAGATAATATAGTCTTTTATCAGTTATATACGCTTTGCTTTGGAGAAAAGTGAGCCATTTTCATAATCATTCTAGCCTTAATATACATGTAATTATAATGCATTTTTTAGTATTCAGAGAAATGTATTTACGCCTTATTTATTTGATATGCATTTATTATATTTTTTGTACTGGCACAGATGCGTCAATCAGATTTTGAGTGAACTTTGTATGAGGTGATAATCAATTTTTTAAGAAACAATTAAGTTTTTTGGGTTTTTTTTATTTTGGGGGGGGGGGTAATTTTATCTTCTGAATTTTATACTTTTTGTAGTTCAGTTTCTCTTCTTGTATAACACATCTAGCGCTAAAACAATTAATTCTTCTGAAACTTTCATTCATTTCCACTTCTGAATTAGCAAATCTAGAATCCCCTGATGACCATAGTTCAATAAATTTTTCACTTTTTCCAATTAGCTAAGATTCTCGCCGAGTCCCAACCCCAAAACGCCCTCGTCCTTCTCGTTCTTTCAATAGCCCATTCTTAGAGACATGTCCATGTATTCTAACGGAAAAAAGAAAATGTGCATTAGTTAAATTTAAAAATATAAGAATAAAATACATGTAGCGCTGATGATATATTTTTGACACAAAAAATATGTCCGGAGCACAGGCACTTGTTTCGGGAATAAATTTTAACCCATAGTATAATAATAACATTATTATTATACTATGGGTCAAAAATTTATTACAGAAACAAGTGCCTGTGGTCCGAAGATACCATGCGATAAAATTACTAGTACATATAAAAAAAAAACAACATGTCCTTGCCCAGCATATGAACAGTCCATGCAATAGTGTCGAGTTCAAGTCTATATACTGTCATTAATATTACTTCCTGTTTCAATTATTAGCTGCTTATAAATATGAACAATTATGAATACATGCTTTGAGTTCTGATAGATTAATGAATTATTTGCACCGATTCTTTTTTCCGTTAATATACTAGAATAAAGTAGTAAATTGGATTTTTGTTTCGATTCAAAGAAAGAACATCGGCGACGAAGAGGTGGAATCTATAATCAGAAAGAAAGACGCGGTTAACAAAGCCATTGGAAATGGTATTCGGGAGGATCTTCTGCCCTTCTTGAAGGACGTGTGTCCGTCCGAGCGCTACCTCACTATTAAAAAAGCGGCGGACGTTGTATTCGGATCCTTTTACAAGAAGTTAGACGAACACAGAAATACTTTTGATCCCGGTTTGTCAAACAAATAATATTGATGATACAAACAGATACCAATATATTTTTCATGTAGTAATGTAAAATGGTTTAATATTCACATTTTTTTTTTCATTTGTATAATGAATAACCTTATATGTAAAACGTAACAAGAAGTTAAAAAATATTATATATATACATATTGCATGTGTCCTTGTACGTGGCAGAAAATTGGTGGTCATGAAGTTGACAATGACTTTGCAAATAAACAAATCATTTTTTTGTAACATTTTATAATAGTGATATACACTGTACCACTGTTTTATCGAAATTTACGCCCCCACCCGATTATATTGAATTGTGTCTCTTTTAGACAATATTCGTGATCTGGTCGATCATCTGCTGATGACGAAAACCGAGGCAGAACAATCAGGTGACGAGGAATCCATGGAAAAACTGACCGACACCTACCTAGTACAAACCGTGTCAGACATATTTTTTGGTATGTCGGTAACCACTGTGCATTTCATTTAAGCATTGAATTCATATTTTTGGATGTCTTCGGTCCTATAACACACCTGGCCGTGCCGACAAATTGAATACCACACGTTAGCGCGGTATGATAAAATTTGTCGGCACGGCCAGGTGTGTTATAAGACCAAAAACAGCCAAAAATATGAATTCAATGCTTATATTTACATTCTCTAATTTTCCTTCTTCATAATTGCTTATTTCGTTAATCTTTAATGTGAATTTAGCGCCCTTCAAAACTGCCGTGGTTAATAGATGTAAGAGCCGTTTGTGACGTCAAATGACGTTAAATGACGTTGCAAAGTTAAATTACGCAAACAAACATTGCGAGGAAAAAAATGACAAATTTATTCTTAACGCACATTACGTTATATTTTACGTCAATTTTTCAGGGTTATAGTTTTTCATTAAATTGAAAAAAAAACATTTTACATTTTGGTTTTCCTAGAGTATTGAAAATGCATGTAGTTCCTACTGTGTATTCTAACGCGCGGTGACAAGGTTTCGCGTGTGTTATAGAAATTTGAATGTCCTGGATTTCTAACGGATTACATAAGGAAAATTACACTGAATGTAAATATATATATTTGTGTCTGCTTCTCTTCAATCTGCTTAATTTATTGACGTCTGTGATTTTCAATAGCTGGAGTGGACACCACAAGACTGACGTTAGAATGGTTCCTCTGCTTTATTTCTGGATTACCAGATATCCAGGCCAAATGTCAAGAGGAAATCGATCAAAAAATTGGTAAATGTTGTTCAAATTTAAGTTCTATTTAGAAACAGTTTATAATGTTTTCTAAAATAAATCATGACCATAAAATACGCTATAATTTGATCATTGAAATTTGATTTTATTTGATCAAACATTAATTATCCAAATTTTTGTTTTCTACGGGAAAGCGTAATAAGAATTTTACATTTAAACGACTAAATATTTCTTTAATTTTATCTGATAAGCTGTAGGTCTAGGACATACATGTATAGAATCCAAAGTTACAGGAAGTCGTTAAAATCCTCGACCTAAGTATTATGATGTATTTTGATTTTCTTTCCTTTTTTTTTTTTTTGAAATATAGGAACACGTTGTCCTACAATAGCAGACAAACAGGTTTTATCCTATACAGAAGCGTGCCTATACGAAACTTTACGACTCGGTACTATTGCTGGACTTGGTTTACCCCATACTACCATCTGTGATACCCAAGTCGGTATGAATTATACGTATCATGCTATTTTGAAAATTTTAAGACCAGATGACTGGTTCAAAACTCCAGCTTTGATTTTTAACCTCATCTGATGCACAAAAAAACATGTCTGTGATTTTTTGAAATTTTGATTTCTTTCTCTTGTCCGTTTTATAATCTATATGGTCAGAGACAACAGAAGAGCTTATGCGATATATAATGCGTCCGTCGTCCGTCCGTCCATCCGTCAAGTGTCATGAAGTCAATGTCTGTATGTCTGTAAACAATTTTTCAAAATGCTACTCCTCCTACAGTTTTGGTCTGATTTCAATATTACTTGGCACACAAGTAGACTACACTAAGATACATAAGTCTGTTTATCGGTTTTTGATTTCGATGAACGGTGTTGCCGTGGTTACTAAAAATAGAAATTTCTGTGAAATTCTTTCAAAATGCTACTCCTCCTACAGTTTTGGTCTGATTTCAATATAACTTGGCACACAAGTAGACTACACTAAGATACATAATTCTGTTTATCGGTTTTTGATTTCGATGAACGGTGTTGCCGTGGTTACTAAAAATAGAAATTTCTGTGAAATTCTTTCAAAATGCTACTCCTTCTACAGTTTTAGCTGATTTCAATATAACTTGGCACAAAGTAGACTACACTAAGATACATAATTCTGTGTATCGGTTTTTGATTTCGATGAACGATGTTGCCGTGGTTACTAAAAATAGAAATTTCTGTGAAATTCTTTCAAAATGCTACTCCTCCTACAGTTTTGGTCTGATTTCAATATAACTTGGCACACAAGTAGACAACACTAAGATACACAATTCTATATATCGGTTTTTGATTTCGATGAACGATGTTGCCGTGTTTACTAAAAATAGAAATTTCTGTGAAATTCTTTCAAACTGCTACTCCAAATACAATTTTAGTCTGATTATAATATAAATGTGGCATGTAAGTAGACTGCACTAAGAACATAAAGAGACTTAATCAAGGATCATTATTCTATTTATTGCTGTTGAAAAGTTTCAATTTCCAACTGCTTAAGTACTTTTCTCTTCCTTTGTTATAAGTACAAACCAGTAGAGCTTCAGTCTCGACAGAGACTTCTGGTTATACAATGTAACTGTTTTATTGGTAAAGGTGGCTACGACATACCAAAGGATACAGTTGTTATAATCAACCATTATGCATTACATCGAGATCCCAAATACTGGGAAAATCCTGAGAAATTTGATCCTAATCGATACTTAAATGAAGAGGGAAAGGTCGATCCTACCAAACTGGAAAGTTGGCTGCCATTTTCCGCCGGCAGGCGAATGTGTCTAGGAGAATCTATAGCTAAACCGGAAATCCTGATGATGTGCGTGCATCTTTTACAACGTTTCAACATTTCACTTCCGCCTGGTGTTGAACCAAATTTTGTAGGTGAGCATCTTGCAGTGTTTGGAGCAGAAAAGCCAACGGACTTGAGAATAGTAGTAAAAGAACGAAACAATGTTGGAATTTAATTACGGGGTACATGTATGAAGTTTTTGTCTCTTTATTACGCCAAACAGTTTATCATCGGACCCGGTTTGGCCTGAGTCCCTGTGACATCCATGGAAAGAATATATGTAGTATGAAAGTACTTCAAAATATTTAAAACATGTATTCAATGCATGTAGTGACACAACAATTGAACAAGATACCAACAGAAAACTTCATGTATAAGATACTGTGTATTGAGACACAAATGAACAAAATACCAACATAAAATTTGTGTTCTTCGAATTAAACTTTTGTACGGTATTGTTAATAGATCTTTCATTGAATCCATTTCATAAATGATCTGTCCTCTCTCTTAATATTGGGACATGTACAGATATCTGATACAGTGTCATCCATTGAAAAATTGTGTATTTTTAGCTCTCAAAAACGGCTCTGTTTCTCAATTTATTACTCCGTACATATGAAAAAAATTAACTATTGATTGCGAACTATTCGATGGTTCCAAATCTAGACTCAGAGGGGCTATTAAAACAACGGTTTATAGGAAAAGTTTTATTATGGAAGTACAGTTGTAGTGAAAAATGTGTTAGGAAGCCGAGATTTGTGTTATTTAGATGGCAACTTTTAAAAATATACGGAGAAATAAATAGAAAAAAATCGTACTTTTTAATGCGAAACAAATATATCCAGTTTTGATTTTGAATTGGTGGCACTGCAGCTCTCTGGTAGTCCATCCTAATTTTTTTTAGACCAGCAACACTAGCTACAAATAATCTGCAGCTAATTGCATACAATTGTAGAAGTCTTTTCTGATGAAAAAAATATTCGTGTAAAGTATTATTACAGTGTACAAGTATAATATAATTATATATATATTTTATAAAGTTTTGATCCTTACCATTTTTGTTGACCAAAAGAGAACAGTGGTTTTAAAAATGAAATCTTAATTACGACTTAAACTAATGATCGTTGTTCTATATTTATTTCAATTGTTATGATATATATGGACTAAATTCGGCAATGTCCAATATCTATCCCCAAATCTAGCATTATTCTCTACACTAATAGGAAACCCGCAAACTTAAAACCATTGCCTAATTTTATCAGCTGTATATATATCGCCAAGAAGTTTTAAACAATGAAATGCTTAACTGGGTTATGTCATTTTTTTTCTTCAATAGCCCCGAGGTCGCCCGCCTGGCGCAGTGGTTAGAGCGTCTGCTCTAGAGTCGCGAAGTAATGAGTCAATCCTTACGTCACGGGTTCGAATCCCACTGTGGGACGTGAAGGCCGGTCCTTCAGATGAAACCGTATAAACCGAGGTCCCTTGTCGCAGTAGGTGCTGGCATGAAAAAGATCCCTCTCTGCTCAATGGCCCTGAGTGCCGAGTAAAGGATAAAATTTGCAGCTCTCCATCGGTTAGTGGTGGCTTCTCCATATGAGTGAAAAATTCTCGAGAGGGACGTTAAACAAGTGATATACAATCAATCAATCAATAGCCCCGACGTTAGTTCCTGTTCTAAAAAAAACAAAAACAGACAATTTATTTGTTTAAATTTATACAAATCTATATAAAAACCATTTAAAGTAAAATTAAATATGTGAAATGTTATATCAAATAGATGTATGTGTCATTGAAGGCATATTTAATGGAAGAGTCGTTGCTCAAGAAATCTAGGATAGGCAAGTGACTTCTTTACTCGCTGGATGTAAATATGATGAAATCTAAAATTTCAGTGATTTTGAGAGGAAATGCTAGACAATTACTAGTGTTTACGTCGACATTTTGAAAACAAATCTCCCCAGCTCATTTTGCTGATGAAATATGTCGATAAAACGAAAAGTATTAAGTTCAAAAGTTCATTAAACAATACATATTTTGGAGCAGAGCAAACACGTAACTCTTAAACATCACGATGGACTAAAAATTAGTATAAAAACGTCAATCAGTTTTTGACTTGATGATTGATTGTTTTTGGTGATAAGGTCATTGTATCGACCATGGAACGTACGAAATGATGACTTTGAACGGGACTGCTGATGTACTTGTTTCATATACTTGGTTATCAATTACTTTGTTTAAGAAATGTTTCATACGAAGAAAATGCTCTTGCGTATCGAATCAACTGTGAGACATAAACCCGTATGCTAAAGGTAAACTGTTGCATAAGTACATGTAAGGGAAATTGACGATTGAAAAGTTAAAGTTAAAATAAAGTTTTGTTGTTAGAAGATCATTGACGTCTTTTTGTACTAAAATTTTGAGATTCGAAATAGATGTGTCAGACTCTGTGGTATCTTTTCAACCTCGTCTGGCTATATCGTATAGACATGAGAATGGAAATAACCGTTATTAATTAACAATACGTCGTTGATATAACTCATTGTCGAGTTAAAGGCTACATCATTTGCTTTCTTTTCCTATATAAGGTTTTGAACAAAATTTGCTTCATATGAATACAAAAAAAGATCTAGCTACAAATAACGATGAGCAATTGGTAGCCGTTGGAATCCCAACAGATTGTTAGAAGACATGGTCACAAAAACCACATACTAGTATATAAATTTTGTCAATCAGAAATCCAAGCATCTTTTTGATATCAATTTCAGATTACACTGTACTTGTGTGTACAATCAGAATGTATTTTTACAAACAAATTTTGCAAATGACCAATGACAAGGTACAATGTGAGGTAAATATATGAGATTCATTTATGTTAAAATAGCTGCTGTTAATGTTATCAAAGATTTGGGCTTTAATTGATCGTGGGGAATGAATGTATAAAATTTTGACAAGTCCTCTGATTTAACTCATGTGTTGTTGATTTTTATAAAATTTTACAATTTCAAAATTTCCAAAAGTTCCTACATCTGCTTTACATCATGCACTTTCCAAATATATTCTTTTACAGCACTGTTAATTTTAAAGTTGCTCGATGTTTACCATGTTTTCTACTGTAAATTTTTAACATGTTTTAGGGAGAGTAAAGAATGAGGCTTGTTAGAACATGTACTGGAGCCCGCTATGTAGTTTTGTATAATCCATTAATATCGTACCCATACTTGTTTATAGATTTAAAATAAAATAGATAACTGTTTTCTTCTTCAGGTGTCTTAAAGATTAATGTAATTCGAATTCCGGAGACCTTTGTCAGGGATTGATTACTAGTAATTGATTGTCTCGCTTTGAATTACTAGTATTGTAAAAGACGTGTGTTATACCCCGAAAAGAAATGAGATATGGTAATTAACTTTTTAAAAAAAATTTTTATTAATGCTTTTTTAAAGTGATTAAATTGACTAAATTGACTTACTTTATAAGAAAATTTTATTCCATTTCATGAAATATCACAATGTAAGTATTATATATGAATAAGTGATTTCTTGTCTTTGAATTAACATGATCTACTGTGACGAAACTTTTTGAAAATAAAATATAAACAAACATAAATAAAAGACAAACATCTTTTTTCTGTCTTTCAGTGCCCGTTAAATTAATAATTATAGTATAAAAAGTAATGTTCAAAGAAATTTCATTATTGTATAAATACACATAAAAGATACAGTCCAGTTACAACTTTTTACATTTCAAAGCTTTGAATGTTGTAAGAATTTTTTTTTAATCATATTTCTTCATTTCTAGGCCAGTAGTATTTTTGCACTTGTTGCAAGCCCGTACAAAATTCATCGATAGAATAATTATAACACTTGACGTTTTTTATTTTTAAAAAGGTGCTACTTATTGCAGGACCCCGAGCGTAGAATTAAAGAACTAAAGAACATTGAACGCATTCATAAATCAAGGAAATCCAGGAAAAAAAAAATCTGACTAGTTGGAGACTTGGAGGAGAAATGAGGTGCCTAGGAGAAAAAAAGCATCCCCTGGTCACCAGTCTTGCCTGCTCAAAACCCTCTATATTGATAAGACAAAATAACGGTTGTTAACATGGTAAAAAAAAAAATAAACAAACAACAATTTTTTATATTTGTCTGGAAACAATGCACATCAGCTAAAAATACTATATCCAGCGATGGTGCTATTTGCAAAAAAGTATAGTCATTATAAAAACAAAAGAATGCACAGAACGAGATATAATTTAAAACTTAAAGCATCAACTTATATGTTTGTGTACTACTTAAATTTAAATTAGCATACTCAGAATATGCTCTCTAGTATCATATAGGTTGGCAGATATTAACATCTTATGAAGTTGATTCAGAAACTTCTATATATCTTTAATAAATAATGCAAAATCTACATATTATAAGGAAGTAATTGAAAATAGTTCTACTTCAAAGGAAATGTGGGGCCACTTAAATCAGTTAGCCTCGAAATCAGACAAAAACTCGTCTCCTTTCAATATAACATATAACGGTTTAGATCTTGATAATCTACAAGATATTGCAAATGCATTTAATGAGCATTTTGCCCAAATTCCAAAAAAATTAATAGATAATCTTTCGTTTACTGCTTTTAAATCAGAAAAATTGAAAAGATACACGGAGACAAAACTTGGAGATCAAGACTTTTTTGAAATCCCTTTGATTAATGAAGAAAAGGTATTCGAAATGTTAAAAAGACTTGATGTAAACAAATCTGCTGGTATAGACTTTCTTGGACCTAGATTGCTTAAACTGTCAGCTAGTATAATATCCAAACCTCTAACACACTTAATAAATTCTAGCATAATCAATGGATCTTTTCCTTCACAGTTAAAGGTCGCAAAAGTAACTCCCTTGTTTAAAAAGGGCGATAAATCAGACCCAGGAAACTATCGTCCAATCTCGATTTTACCAACGATATCGAAAGTTTTAGAGAAGCATGTAGCAGAAAATATACGCATCTTTACTTCTCACTTTGACTTGCTAATGAAAGCACAATCTGGATTTCGAGAACTTCACTCATGCCAGACAGCTCTCACAAAACTAACTGATGATTGGTTGCATGCAATAGATAAAGGAAATGTTGTAGGTATTACATATCTGGATTTTAGCAAAGCATTTGATCTTGTTAATCATGATATACTAA